TTTGAGAACATAGATGGTCTCTAAAAGGCTTGTACCGCCATCCTAAAAGACATGAAGACGAATGACACGAAACTCTCATATGATTTGCTCTTCAATTGGGGCATTTTATTTATGAATCTTCCCCTTTCTTTACCTAATTTAGCATTGAGCGACTTTTATCTATTCCAAACAAAATACTCTGTGGATGAAAGGAAAGCATTAAATGGCTATAGAAGCCTTCTACAAAACTTGTATCATTCAAGCAAATGATGAAACTTTGAGATGATATTCTTTTCCATCGTCACAGTTTACCTATAATTCGCTTCCTTCATTTACCTATTTTACCATTGTTCAACTTTCATCTCTTCAGATAATGTAATTATCATCAAAAGACAAACGTTTTGTGAACTAAGAGGTTACTTAAAAACTCGACACCCAGAAGTAATATCAGATAATTTTACTTTATATGCTTTTAGGCAGTGGGAATCACTGTTTTTAGATTAAATAAAATATTCAATTGAACAAAATCTTGGCTATAAAATTGGCTACAAGGTAAACTCTTGATTGCTCCTTTTTATACAAAGCTCTGTTCAATTTATAGCTTATCTCGAATTTTAAATATTATTTTACTTCTTATTTTTTTGTAATATTTTTATTAAACTAAAACGAAATTCTTGATTTAAAAATAAAATAATTATATTTTCTATTTTAATTACTATGACGTCTTTAGTTGCAAAAACCTGATATTGGACAGCAATTACGAAGTATTGACAATTAATTAAATTAAATTTATTATTTTAATTATAAATCTAAGTAATACAAAAAGCACTAATCTTTACGAAATCCACCTTTTAAGATACTTTTTCTTCAAATAAAATCTTCGCCGTAAGCATTAGGTGAAGTGAATGCTAAGTATTAAAACTCACTTTTAATAATGTACAGAAGATCAAGTATCCATTTTATCCTTTCCTACCATTAGAATCTCATACTAAAGGTCTAGCACATTTTCAATTTATTTTATTTTTCATTAACGATGTTTTAATTAATTTTCCTTTTGTTCTTACAGAATAACAGCGCATCAATAAAAGGCAAAAAATACGAAAAAAAAGGAATAAACCAGAAGGATACAATAAAGACATTATCGGCATAGAGAAAAAATAAAGAAGCATAGAAAAAGTTTTCCAAAGGTCGCTGAAAATAATAACAAACCAAGTAAACAAAGTATAGTAAATAGAAAAAAAGTGCAAAAATCTAAATAAATTTTGTAAAAGAAAAAAGGATATCAAAAGGACATACGCTTTGTCTGAGTTTGTAAATACGAACGCAGTATAAATAACAAAGCAATGCGCTTCCATATTTATTTCCTGGCATTGGTGCTGTACCATAGCCATATGGTCTGTGCCTATCCGCCTACATACTCAGATGAACCACCTGCTATAGATGATGGCGATGACGGCGGTGGTAGCTACGGCAATATTGGTGGTTATGGTTTCGGTTCGACTATAGAATTGAGCGAAAAAATACGGCCCACCATAAAGACAGTTACAGCTGCTAATGCATCACCAACAAAAGGTAGCAACACAAAGGATTCAGCAACAAAACAATCAACCACACATATGCAACCAGCATTTGCCTATGAGGCAACTGTGCCGCCGCATGTTGAACAAAATCCATTGAAAGACATTTCAGTCGCTACTAATGTCAACAACAACAACAACAACAACAACAATAACAACTACAATGCTGAACAGGATGGAGAAGCATCGAAAAAAATTATTGGCTCCAGGTTAGTTCTTTACCAACCCAACAAATTTTCTAATTCACAACTTTAGAGTGGCACTTTTAGTTATAATGAAATGCATTTACTGCTTGCCTAATGAAAGCGTTAGACTGTAAAAAGGTTATTGTGAAGTGCATTGAAAGTACGAGTACCTTTCTGATTTTCGATTAATTTTTAATATATTGCTGTACGTACTTCATAGTTTTGAATACCTCGTCGTGCATTTCATTACACAAATATTCGAGTTTTGTAATTTGAAGTACATAATTGACCAGAAATGGTAAAAGTTTTAATTAAAATGAACCGACAAATTTTAGATTATGTTCCTTTGATCTTTATAAATGTTTCTGTAAAATTTATGCTTTCATATTTATTGAAAAAAAAAACGAATGAATGAATAGTATTTTATCTTCTGATATTGGCAAAGTTTAATGTGAAATTGAGTTGGTCGAATTGTCATTAAATATGGTAAATTTTATATTAGTTTTGGTTTTAATTCGAAACTTTTTTTGTTCCACAAACAAAGTAATATGTTGTCATCGTATGATTTAGTACAGATTTTAAATAGAAATTTATCGAATATATAGTTATGAACATGAAAACTGTACAATTGGGAGATATTAATTAACTGCAGCAGTTAAAAAAGAGATCTATTCAATGTAACGGAAGGTTATATTGAACCACAAAATTTTGTGGTTTATTGTTATATTTGTCATTTACTGCAAATAAATTTATGAACCTCAAATATCTTCTTTTTTCTCATTTAAGCATTTGTAGTTTATACGATTACTTTAATATATATGACTGTTTGAAACATAATACCTAAACTTGTACCAATACTATACTTGCTATATGTACTATATAATTGTGTTTCATTAATTGATTATATTTTTGGTTGCTTAACCATCCCGTCCTGATTAGGAAGTCCAAACACTTCGAAACGTTGACAACTTTCTATAAAAATGTACTACATATAGTAAAATAAATTTAAAAATTACACAAAACGAGATTTTATTTTACGTCTTCAAGAATAGCTTTCAGAAATAAAAGCATGTATAATTAAAAAAAAAAAAACTCTTAAGATATAATATACATATTCTTAATTATCCATTCGGATTGTAATTTCACTATATTCTTTTACTATTTACATTAATGTGTTTATATGTTCATATCTATAAACAATATGACTCTAAGTCAATTTGAGACAGATAATGATCTTTACGGCATCACAGCACTCAATAACTTTTTTCTTTTCCAATAAGTTTCTTACCAAAGGCTCAGTTAGTCGTTACGTACCGTAAGAACTTAAGTCAAAGCGAAATATACAAGTATGGTTGGTTGTGCATTTCGCTTTGACTTAAGTTCGCTTAAGTTCGATACGTATGGTACATACCCTCTAACTGAACCATAAAGCTGAAACCCTAACTACTTTCTCAAAATACGCACGTATTTCAATGTTAGATATTACATTGTAAGCAGTGCTTCTCTCTCACTCAGTGTCAGTACCGTAGCTATGTTTGTACCGAAAGAGCTATAGTGGTTAACGAAATATCTTTTTTCATAAAATTTTTTTTGCAGTACTCTAAAGAAATTCCTTTAAGATTAAGTAACAATTTAGTTCATGTAGACACCCATATGCATATATAAAAAATAATTATCTTATTGATAATTTTCTCAAGTTTTTATTACAAATATTATCCAGCATTTCTGTTTCTATAGGTGATAAATTTCTCTAGAATTTATAATCTTCAAAATTTTTTTGTTATTAGTAATAAATTGCTACTTGATATTGCTACGATATTACATGTTACCGCCAAACTAAAGATCTGCTTCGTTCCGTATAACTAAGATAGCGTCGCCCCTTTTTATTAGATGTTACCGCCAAACTGAAGATCTGCTTCGTTCCGTGTAACTAAGATAGCGTCGTCCCTTCTTAGTAGATCAGAGCTAAGTTCGTTGATAGTTTTTCTGATGAGTCATTATAGCCTGCATTATGATCTCCAAAAAATGGGTATTGTCTGTGGTGTGATGTCTGGGTCTTCTGTTTAAAAATGGATAAGAGCTTTAATTACATACTGTGCAATGGTCCTTGAAAAGTATTTGTATAATTAACAAAATAACTCAATACCCTTTTGATTTCTTTCATAATAATATATAGTTAAAACTCTATTTCCTCTCATCTCTCCTTACTTGTATGTCAATCTTTCCAATTAAAAATTTTAGTCTTAAACTATATATTACATATAGCTCCATTTGATGTGCTTTAAGAAGTTTAGGTACATTTAGTGATATAACTCTCAGTACACTTTTTGTTTCCTTTTTAAGTATTTAGACATAGATCTCTCTTTCTATTTCTATCTATTTGTATATTAATATAAAAACTTCAACTTCAGACCATATAAATATTATATGGGTAGCTCTGAAAAATATATGGACACTTTTTATTCCATTTATAAAAATAAATATTTATCTATCTTTCTCTGTCGCTATTTGTGTGCCAATTTTTCGAAATAATATAATATTTTTTACCACGTACTACGGTGATACTAGTGTAACGACATCCTCAGAGGCAAAACTATATCTATTTTTATAGTATATTTCTTCTTCCAAAAAAACTTTAACGATAATTTTTGAAAATAAATGATGGGCCTTGCAAGAAAAAAAACTATTTAAAATTTAGAAGGGTTTGAATAGAAATGAAAAGACAACAACAAAAATATTAGTTAATTTATTAAAAATAATCTGACCATTCAACGCTGTTTCGAATATTGCCAAGTACTTATCATCAGTGAATATTCGAATTTTTATTTAATTAGTTTATAGTCCGTATATAAGTGGTTATGAATACAAATGCCAGGCTTAGAACTTGTGCCTGTCAAATTAGAAACGATAACTAATCGTGTTTTTTTTCACAAGTAACCAAGGCTACACATATGTTATACCAATTCAAGTTAAACCAATTCAATCCAATTATACCAATTCAATATCCATGTTAAGCATTTCTAAAAACTGATTGCATTATTTTATTTTAAATCATTTTAAGAATTTTTGTTTTTAGAATTTCCATAGTAAGTTACTATGGAATGTCAATATTTATTGTTTTATCGGTTACATGTTTCATATCCTTTTAGAAATGTATTTCCTATATGACGTAGTCACTGTAAAGTCAACCACTAAATGATTTGACTCTTGCTACCATTAGGCAATTACGTGAAACTGTTTTTAAAAATTTCAGTTGGATTTACTTATTTAAATCCATAATTACCCTACAAAAATGAAATATTTCAACATTTCCGGGCATAAACCAACGCAGTGAAAATTTGTCAATTGCAGGACCATCATAATAAATCCATTTCAAAATGTGCACTGTTTCGGAACTGCAATAAAACACTTAATAAAAATTTTGATACGCCGTTAGGCTGCTACCATATTTTAAGGTTACAAAACCTAGAACTCGTTATGACATTTCCACGTACCACGCACCGCAATTCACAACTAGCATTTTCAACGTGCAAATTTAACTAGCAATTTTGCAAATGGATTTCGGCAAAATAATTATCTTCTTTGTGTAGCAGAGTTGCCAACAGATCACCGCCAATGCCACAGACATTTTCGAGTTGCGTTCGCTGTCAGCATGAGTACACATTGTGTTTGTGGCTGTTTTGAATGGAAATTTCGAATGTGATTAGCCCCGCAACTGAAAAGTAAATCTTAACCAAAGAAACCAAAAAATAGTAGTTCCACGAATCGAGTGGACATTTTGAAATGAGTTGTTACACCACGATGCCGATTGCAAGGAGGCAATTGTAGTATTAAGTGAATGCACACTGTACCTGATGACTGGACAGAACAATTTTTAATAGAAAACACTGTCGACCGTGAGTTCTAATGAAAGGCACGTATTTATTTAGGTTGGAAATTTTGGATTTGTTTTTTTTTAAGCTTCCATAGTAGCGGTCATACTAAAGTTATCATAGTGGTAGTGTCCTCTACACTCGAAAAATAACACTTTGGTTTGTAAAATTAATAATTCTGGGTATCTAGTCATATCATTTGCTGTGCTCTCTAAGTACCGCATAGGCACCACTAAGTAAACCGGATCACAAATACAAAACTTGAAAATTATTTAATTAAGTAATTAAAATAATTATTGGTGTCA